CCAGGGCCACCCTGGGCTCTCCCCTGCCCTGACACTCAGGGCCCTTTCCCAGCCCTGACTCCATCCAGCACTGACACAGCTGCTGCACCTGCAAGTCTCCTGCTCCTGCCCTCCCTCTGCCTGCAAACACCCCTGCCAGCTCCTGCACCCCCACCTCTTACCTCCAAGGAAAACACAGCTGCATCCTCCTGGATCCTCCAGCTGGATGCTGCTGGCTCTGGGCAGCTCCCACCCTTCAGCAGGGGATGCCAAAGGCAGCTCTGGGGACTGTCCCGAGGGCAGGGACACCCACTGTGGCTCACACCAACACTCAGCCATCTCAGGCCTGGGCTCTTCTGCCTGCAGGGCAACAAACAGCCAAGCAGGGACACTGGGACACTCCAAGGAAACAGGGACAACACGCTCAGCAGCCTGGCACACCACAGCCCCCAAACCTGCCCAGGCTCCAGCTGCTGCACAGACCTGTGGCCACACAGGACCCAAACCCACCCCCAGCACAGACAACCCTGGGCAGGTCAAGCTGCTCATTCCCAACCACAACCAAACATCCAGTGCCACTGTCTGCCAGCCCCTGCTCCCAGCAACCAAACACCTTTCCCATTTCCTTTCTTTACAGCTCCTTGCATTCACATTCTACTATCAAACCATCAGCAGCAAATTTAGCTCTTACTAGAACCAATCCAGCTTGGTTTCCTAATTTTAAAGGATACTTGGTTTGCCTTACCAGGAGAGACTCTGGCTTAGGGGTAATTCTTACAGCTTCTGTCCTTGTCCATTTGCTTGGAATTCCACTGGCCCACACCACAGGAACAACTGCAGCTGCCACTTCAGTCGGGACCTTGCTGCTGACAGGAGATATTATCCCTCTGTAAACACCAAACTGCTTCAATACAAACAATCCAGTGGACACTACAAGTCCCTGGCACTTTCAGTGAAACCAGTGCAAGTCAGTTCCTAAGTTACACAAGGTTTTCTTCTAAAGTTGTAATTAAGATATCAAAAAAACAAACAACTGTGACATAAGAGATCCCCCCATGGTTCTACTTCTACGGAAAAATACTCCAAACCCCCCTCCCCAGGGCTGCAATAGCTCAGGCTCCCAAAAAGGCCCAGGGGCTGGGCTGGGCTTTTGGCTGCCCTGGAGCACAGGCAGGAACACGATGTCACCACCCCACGGGCACAGCTGAGAACCCAAAGAGCAGCCACACCAGCAGCTCCTGCCAGCCCTGCTGGGCTGGGCCTTGGGGAGGAAGGGCACTGGCCTTTCTTCCTGCCTAGGAGCAAAGAGCCTCCTTGCTGAGTACTTCTCCTGCCAAGGCCATCAGCTCAGATGGGAAGTTCATCAAGGGCAACTTCCTGGAAAGAGAAACATTCCTGTTCCCTGGACAATCTCTTTCCAACTGAACTCAGAAGTACACACAAAACTTCAGGTGTTACCTAAAATTTCTAACAAGAACCTCTGAGACTCAAGTGGTGAGTTTTAGAAGCCAGGCAATCTTTGATTCCTATGCTCTTGAATCATTCCAGCCCACCAGGGGCCCTGGCAATCAGATCCCAAAGGGCACACAGAGGTGTCCCCACTGCAGATGATGGGAGGGGTCAGCAATACAAGAGGATTCATTTTCCTTCCCTGCATTCCTGTTCCACATTCAGGGCATTTTCCAACACTTATCACCATACACACCTACCCTTAGAAGGTTTCCAAGGGGCTTCACCGAGGGCCTTCCCAGGTCTGCTCTGTCTGGAGCCCTCAAAGTCCTCAGGGCCTGCCTGAGGAACCTCAACACAACTCACCTGCTTACACAGCAACTCGGTGCTGCTTGGCTGCTGCCTCACTTCCCTTCTTCCTTCTTTCTTCACCTCCCTTGCTTGGTCCCTTTCAATCCCTTGGCTCAGCTCTGTGCACTTTCCAGGCTCCATCCCACTGCAAAAAGGATCAGCTCTTGTTACATCTCAACACTCAGATATCATTCCCACTTTATACCTGACCCTGAAGGATCCACTTTGTTCTGCTCACCAATCAAAAGGAGCTTTCTTCACTCAAGAAGAACAGACCCCAGGTCCTTTTTCTGCAACTTCAGCTGCTATAAATGTGACCCACAAGACCTGCAAAGGCCCTTCCCACTTCACCTGCAGGGCTGGCAGTGCCACCACTGGACACGGCCCCAGGGGCTGGGCAGGAACGGAGGGGCTGGGGCATCCAATCCATCAGCCCAGGCGGCACCAGGAGTTCCTGGAGTTCCTGCAGGGGAGAGCCTCAAGACAACAAAGGATTATGGAGATCATTTTAAACTTTAATATGCATATCTCCAGGAATATGGGGACTTGGACAAGGCCTACAGGTGCAACAAGGACACACTCAAGGCTATCTATTCAAAGGATCTACCAGCACTCAAAAGCTGTCACTGTCCTTCTTGCAGGGGCAACTCAGGAAACTCTCTTTGCCAAGAGCCTCCAGGAGGATTTCCAGCTTTTGGGGCTCCCTTTTAACTCTTTTTCCCCATCCCTGTAGCTGGGACTATCACCTGCCCTACAGGGGGAACAGCCCACAAAGTTCACTTGCAGGGATGCCATTAACTCAAAGTCCCTTCTCAGGGGGGTCACTGCACATCTTGTCCTTTATTTGCCCTCCCCACCAAAGATGCTTCCAACAGTTCTGAGACACCGGGCAGACCCAGAGCTCTCCTCAGGCAATGCTTTAGCTGCTTAAAGGCTGCCCTTGCACCATCTAGCCAAGGCAGCAAATGCTTACAGGCTGTTCTGAAAAGTTGGCAGAACAGTCTTACTGCACATCCAGAGGGAGCAATCCAGAGTCCAGCCCATCCTACCATTCCCAGGAAGGCAGTTCATGGGCTGTCTGGGGCTCAGGAGGAGTCAGGTGACTTCTTTTCTTCCTTCCTGCTTTCCAGATTTTCTCCTTCCAAAGCAAAGGTTTCTTAGCTTTCCTTGCTCAAGGAGATGCAGCAAAGGCCATCTTTTCAATCCAATACTGGAAACTCCTCGAGGTTGTCATTCAAGGTGCTTCTCTCAGGTCCTGCACTCATCAATCATCTTGGCCACTGGTTCCTTGGCAGGTTCTTGCATTCAGGACCTACAAGCAAACCAGCAGGAGCAAATTCAGCTGTTACTGCAACCAATCCAAGCTGGCATCCTGATTTTAAAGGATACTGGGTTTGCCTTACCCATATAGATCCCACATTAGGGGTAATACCTACAGGTTCTGCCCTCTTCCACTCTCCTGGAACACTCCACTGGCCCACACCACAGGAACAACTGCAGCTGCCACTTCAGTCGGGGCCTTCCTGCTGACAGGAGTTATTCCCTGCACAACAAGAGCTGCTGCTTGGACACATTGAGTTTCAGCAATTACAGTTTCAATAGCCCCAGTTTTCAATTGCATTTCTGCCTCAACTTTTCCAGTCCATCACTTCTTAGCAGAGGTTTGGGTGAGTTTGGCAAATAGACAAACTGAGCAATTACCCAATGTTTTCCCAGTTTAACCCCTGTCACACCAATCACCTTAACACTGCCAGTGCTTAATTCTCCCTCTGTTGGGTTAAGGACTGAGGAAGATGTACCTGTGTCTGACCAGGACAGGTGCAAACCAAATGCTGGGGACTGGAACACACACCTGGCACTCCTGCAGCTCTTACCATTACATTCAAGAGAAAAAAGCCAATTGGACCATCACTGCTCATTTCTTAATCCCAATCCCACACTTCTTTGGCACTTTTAGAACCCAATTCCAGTCCATTAGAGAGCTCCATGTCTAGCAGGGACAGGGACCCCTGGGATACTCTCAGCAATGCCTGAATCCATGGCAGGGACCTTGCTTTGAACTCCCCAGGGCCGGGCACCCCGAGGATCTCCCCGAATAATCCTTTCGGTGCGCGCTGGAGTCCTCGGGGGGCCCCAACCCGGGGGGCACCAACAGCACTGTCCCTCCAGGGGGCCCAATTTGGTCCCAAGGCTTCAATGGACAGCCCAAAAGGCATTTCAAGAGTCCTTCTTTGGAACCCACCAACGGGTACGGGTAGGAAGCCACAAGAAGGCCTCATTTATAAATGCAGGGGGATCTTGCCTGTGTCCCAGACTGGTCCGGGGATCTGAGGCCCTTCCCGAGAAAATCTCGGTGCCGGCGTGAAGGGCCAGAGATCCCTTGGAGCCACGGGAGAGCAGGCACAGAGTCCCTCCTGGGGGGCCAATTCTGCTGCCTCAACTCAGCTCTTCAAAGAAGCCTCTAAGACTCAGCTGGTGAGTTTTAGAAGCCAGGCATTCCTGCACACTCTGAGATATTTTAAGAGCTTACTGAGTGAAAAAACACAAATCTTTTTCAAGGACCTCTGGCCTCCCACAGACAGCTCCTTTCCCCTTTCAGTACGAAATTATTTTCAGGGAATCATTTAATAGGAAGTGCCCAGGAACCCAAGAATGTGCTTTGAGAACAGAAAATATACAGAGGGAAGGAACTTTGCACAAGTATAACATACTCCAGAACAAACCTGACTTTAGTTTTACTCTTTGTGTTCAAATATTCCATAGAAAAGCTCCAGCAGGAGAACTGGCACATTCCCAAGAGGATCCTAAAAGTCCCTCTCACGAGGGCTGGAGGAAAATCGCAGTTGTACGAGTCCCTTGTGCCTGCAGATGCCTGGGGATCCTCTCCATCCACCTCGTGCTCTCCCAACAGCAGAAAGGGTGACCTCGGGGACATGGTGGCACTCGACATCCTGCTGAGAGAGCAAGGAAACCTTTAGCATAAAGGGGAGTTGGAATCTAAAACTTCCTTTCCTGGGAGCTTTGTGAAGCCTGCAACCAAGAGGGGGAAAATTTGCATCTCCTTTGGTGCAGGTGTCAACAGAGGCCAACAGAGCTTGCACTTTTTTCAGACAACCGTGCCCCTTTTGGCTCCCTGGCAGCTCCAATGGCACCAGAACCCCCTTCCTGCACACCCACGGCTGTCACACACAGCCACCCACACACCTTTGCTCCAGCCCACACGGGGCCAACATTTCCTCACCCTGCACATCCCAAGGGCAGTAGTTTTGCTAGAGAGCACAGCAACCTCCCTGTCCTCACAAACTGCCTCCCTGCAAAAAGGGAATCATTTCTCCTGGACACTTCTCCCACAGTCAAGGGCTTTTCAAACTGCTGTCGTGCCACCAAACCTGCTCAGGGTCCCTCCCAGCTTCTGCCTGTCCTTGCATTTCAAGGCACGGGCATATTCTATCTGCCAAGAGCAAACCCAGCTCCTCCCTGGCAGTATAAGCCCTGCTCTTACCTGGACAGACTCCCGGGCTCGGCACAGCTGTGGCTCATGGAGCAGCTTCCCAAGGCCCTTCTCTCTCCCAGCAGGAAGCACAACTCGCCTCCACTCCCCAGCACCAGGGGAAACCACGAGCCAAGCTGCAAATTGACACAGAACGAGCAAAAAGCATTAATGCAGCACCAAGAAACTGAGACCAGTCTTCGCCTCGTAACCCTGCACGGGGAAAGGGTTTGGGATTCCGAGGCAATCCCTGAGGCACCCAGAGAGCAACAGCCCCGCAGTCCTGCCACGGCTCCCCCAGGGTCACCCGGCCCCCGCTGCCCAGCACAAGGCGCCCCTAAACGCCCCCCGGCTCCCCCGGTCACAAATCCAGCGGCCAAGGCGCTCTCCCCTCCGCAGCCCGGGCAGCAGCGGGGCCGCACCCTCAGCCCTCACACACACAACCGCCCGCACCCCCCCCCGCCGGCCCTTTATACCGCGGGCCGGCAGCGCTGCCCAATCAGCGCTCGAGCGCCGTCGCCCAATCCCAGCCCGCCCGGCCCTGCGGCCCCGCCCCGCCCGCTCACCCGGCCCCGCCCCTCGGCGCGGCCCCGCCCCCGTTTCCCCCGCGCGGCTCCCGCCGGGGCCGGGGAAGGGCGGTGGGAGCTCCGCGGTCACGGCCCGGCCGGGGACACCGCGTGTGCCCCTCCAGCCCAGCCCAGCTGCCCACGGGGCACTGCAGCAGCTGAGATGGGAAGCTCAGAGCCTCAGGGAAAAGGGGGCTCTTTTACCTCCATCAGGGATTGTCCCTGTCCCCTGCGCGGCTCCGGGAAGGTCCCCAGCACCCGCGGGTCTGACGGGCACAGCCTCCCATCCAGCACAGCAGGAACAAGCCCAGCGTGGCCTGGGCCGGGGGCTGTGTGCCCCTCCGGAGCCTGGAGAGAATTCAGGAAGAGAAATCAGAGCCAGTCGGTCCTGGAGGGTGCACCTGCTCTAATTCCAGCTGGGCACACGGGGCTTCCTTCCGCTGTTCCCTGTGGCGAGAGACCTGGATGTTTGTCCCTGGCTCAGCCCTGAAGCCGAACTGGAAGCAGGGCCACGTTAGCAGGGACCTGCCCCTTCCCTGCCACGGTCCCAGGGAGGGTCCCGAGGGCTGTGCCGGGCTGACACCGCAGCCTCCTGCCCGCTCACCACTGGGCACCTCGAGGCTGAAATCCACCCTCCTGCTGACAGCTGCATCTGTGCAGCATTTGGGCTGATGGATATGGGCCTTAGGGATATTGGGAACTGGCTGACAAGAACCTGCTGTTGTGTGAGACAACCTGGGTATGGAATTGCACACGGTGACCTGAAGCCGGGGTGATTTTCTTGCCTTGGCAAGGCCCTGCATTGCTCCCAGTCACAGGAAATCCCTGTTTCCCTGCCCATCCCCGGAGACAGGCAGCTTCTAAAATCTCATCCAACACCCCAACAAAGCCACACCCTCCCATTTCTGTGCTCCTCTGCAGTGTCTGTGGAGGGAGACCCCAAACTAAACTAAACTGTCTCTGCCTGTACACAAAGACTTGTTCTCTTCACCAGGACCCCAGCGCAGTCAAAGAAGGGGACAGCAGCACTGTTGGCTGCACCCCCTCTTTGACTGAGCAGAGACCAAGAGAGCCAAAGCTGTCAGACAGCAGTGCAAGTCTCACTGCATGTGCTGGTAATCTTTCAATGCTAAATGCATATGAAATCAGCCTCCCCGTCATATTTCTTCTAATGAAGAATTAGCATTAGTGTCAAACCTTGTTAACGTGATATACAAATTATCCTGGCAGTGTCTATGTTACAAGCTCAGTTTGGGTGTGTTGCTATTCTGAAAAACGTGGGAGGAAACAGTGACTGTCAGTTCTCCTTATGCTGCTATTAAACACCATCCCTGCAGAGCCAGGGCTGGCCTACATTCCCAGGAGAACTCTGCAGGGAGAGACAGAACGTTTAAAACATGAAACCCTGGCATCGCAATTGTTATTTCTGTGTTTCTATCTGATACATTTGTTGGGGTGATTGCTCTGGAGAGTGTTTTGTACCTCAGTCTGATGTATCAGCCTCCTTATGAGCAGGAACCGGCACGTTCCCAAACACAGCACGAGACGAGCAGTGGCACTACAGCAGGCTCTGTCTGCCCAGTGCAGCCACGCAAACTGGCAGCTGTGGCTGTAAAGCACCTTTGGATCTGACTCCAAATCAACACTGTACGTGTACCCAGCAGTGGCAGCGGTGCTTGATCATCCAGAAGGACAGACCCCCTCTGTGCATTCCACCAGACCTGTGGCACCAGTGTCCCCACGGCCCTGCCAGGGACCAGGGCACTGTGGGGGGCACTCGCAGCGTGGGCAGGGCACCCAGAGGCACCTTTCTGCTCATACCACCCCACCAGCTTGCTCCAAGCCCCGTCCAACCTGACCTTGGACACTTCCAGGGATGGGGCACCCATTTAAACCCTCTAAATTCAATGTCTCCAGCGTCCCTTTCCATGCTCAGCAGGATGGGGAACTGCTTTTCACTTTCCTTGGAAAACCCTTGCCACTCTTGGGATGGCAATCAGGTTGTGTCCAGTGTACACTCATTTGCAGGAGGGACACGTGTGGAGTGCTTAACTGGAAAGGAGTGTGGCCAACACTAGGAATGAGATCCAATGGGGAACTCACGCATCATTAAGAAGTTGCCATTGTCCTTCAAAGTGCAGAAACTGCATGGACAGATTCAGTTTTACTGGATACATGGGATTGACTTTCCACACACTGTGGCAGTTTGGGTCAGATCCAGCCTAATCCACTCCTTTGGCTGCAGTGTTACCACTCGAGGCTTACTGAGGCACAGCAGGGTTTTCTGCTTGGCTTTTAGGGTCTCCTTGGGAGCTTATGGAATAGAGAGGAAGGTTTTCCCTTCAGATACTTGGGACAGTGTGACGGTGGCTGAATCTGTGCCTCAAAACCTAAGGTGTGGCAGGGATGTTGCTATGCAACCTCATTACCTGTCTCTTCAGGAAACCTTTTCCAGACTGTGTGGCCTGCAGGCAATATAGGATGGAAATCCCAAGTTGTTCACTTCATTGCCGCTAATGATTCTGTGATTACTTGGCTGTGCTGGGGAGTCTGATGGCAAGAATTACTCTTTTCAGCCCCTGTCAATGCTTAATTCTACCAGAGTCACTTGGAAACTTCTGTTTGTCACAGAGATGATTTCCTGAGTGAATGTATTTTGTCAAAAGTGCACGTCTCAACCTTGTTTCTGACTCGACGTGTAGCCCAGACCTTGTTATTTCTACAAAGCTTTATAAATGTATGGACTCTCAGTACAGAGTATGACTTGTTTCAGGAAAACCAGGCAATTTTTGACATGGTATTAAAGAATTCCCTTGTTCCCCAGCCCTCCTCTGGGCCCATGGATGCTGAAAAGCTGTACGTGGTGTAATCCAAACCATCGTTTGTCTCACTAAAAGGATCCGGTTCAATTTCTTTTAACTTCAGGGAACAAAAAGACTCATCCATGTGTGTTTTCTCCCTTGTCTTCAGTCACTCTGAGGTGTTTTGTGGGGCCCTTTGGTTTGATGTCAAGTGGCAGAACGTGAATGTACGGGCACAGGAGACAGTTTAACCCCTGGCAGTACCAGAGGGAGCGTGCCCAGGCCACGCACACCCACGTGCTGCTGTAAGCTGGCAGCAAATTCCTCTGTCCTTTGGCTCCTTGGAGTCATTTGGCTGGGAACGAAACAACTTTCCTCACTGCTTTTCTGGCAGTGCTTCTCTCGATCCCATTTGTTTCTGGCTTGTGAGGACATACTGGGTATGAGTTTTGTGCCAATGGCATGTGGGTGGAAAGTGCACCGGGTGCTTGGCGTGGCCCCAGTGTTGGGAATAAATTGCCAGGTGTTCCAGGAGGACTGTTTTGTGGGATGTCAAGGTTTCATTTAAAGTGCAATTTGGTCAGAGGACAGAATTCTACCCTGTGAGTTTCACTACTCAGATTTCCACCCTGCCCTCCTCCTTCTCTGGAAAGAATCTCTCTGTTAATTCTGTATCTCTCTGGAGCCAGTAAAATGTCAGACACGTGAATTATAAACACATTTTCAATTACTAAAGCTGGATGGAATCCTTAACCTGCTTTGCATTTGGATTTGATCAACTGAAAAGCCACACCAGTTGTGACAGGAAAGGAAGGGGCACATGTAGGAATCGTGATGTGGAATGGTGTGAGGAGCAGCTGGAAATCTAATGAGAAACTCAAGGGTTTTGACAGATTTGTGGGTTTGGTGCTGATTTTTGTGCCTCAGAATCTTCCCTGAACCCCTGCCACCAACAGGCTTAACCTGTCCCACTTCACTACAGCCTCACCATCCTAGAGCAGGTTGGTTTTAGCTGCAGGGAATGACTGTCACGATTTTGGATTAATTAGATATGAGAATGGTCTTTATAAGGACTGTTTGTGCTCCTTTAAGCTAAGGGGAAAAGCTGAACTGAAACTGCCAAATGATTCTTCCTCAAATTCACAAAATTTGGAATCTTGATGTTTGTGAATGCCTTGGGGTCACGTCAGCTCTCTAAACCGACACGTAACTATGACTCAGAGTGATTGAATGTTCAAACCTTTCAACTGTAACAAGATTGATGAGTCTTGCTGTTCAGTTTTCAAGCCAGTGCCTTAAATATTTAACCCTATGGCCTGGAGAGCACTCCCAGTTCAAGAACTCCAGGCACAAAGCGTTTCAAGGCCAAGAAACCTGCCCTTGTGAAATGCCTTGTTACACAAAGTGTTTAAAATCAGTGCTGTTTGCAACTCTTTGCAAGTGAAGAGATACTTGATTTGTGGCTGATGTAATAATAATCCTTTTTTTAATAAGAGCTCCTTGCTAATAAATGTATTTAGACTAAACAGTACCTTTGAACCTTCTCTTAAGTATGTAATTATAATGGCTGAAGTAAAGCCTAAAATGAACCTGCAGTAGAATCAGGGTATTAAAGTCCGGCTAATATCTTACCACCTTTCATATTCTTTCTTACAAACTTTCCAAGAGCAATAAGGAAAACAAAAATCTGGAATATAGAATCCCTGCCCATGTATTCTACTTAGAGCTACCATTTGGTGTA